CTATGAAGCCCTCTCTTGCCTATAAGGAAATTAAGCTGATGTAAATCAATATGTCACAACATTTGTAACCTCAAACAAATATTGACTAGCCTAAAAGGAGCTCAAGATCCTCAATGGGCATTTTCAAAGGTCTAAGGGCTTTGGGGGCAAGGAAAGAATGAGGTAGCTAAGCTAATGATTCTTTAAAAAAAACTGGGGGGTAGGTGTCAAAGACTAATTAAGAATTTTAAGATGGACTCTTCAAGAAAAAAAAGGACATATATGTAATTTTACACACAATTTCAGAATGTGCAATAATTCTCTAAAGCCTATTCTTGGACTTTAGGTTAAGAACCTGTGAGCTAGTATTATTGCAGGCGATTTCATGACAAACCTCTTGAGTGTGGACCCATTTCTACTATGATCTAGCCAATAATAAGTATTTTTCCTAATTTGAAAAGCAGGAATAAAGGAGAGAGAGTATATAAGAAATACCTTCCATCTACATTTATTTAGTACAGCCACAAGGGTCACTGGGACTTACTTATGAAACACAGGTAGTGGGACTCAGCCATCCTACTGGAAGATCGAAAATCAGGGAACAGGGCACTTGGGGTGGGGAGCATATCAAATGATTCTACCAGCTAGGAACAGATACTTACCAACAAGCCATACTGGGGAAAGAAAGGAGATAAATCTCAGCCCAGGGTGGGCAAGGGGACCGAAGGGCAATTTTCACAAGATGTACTAGAGACAAGCAAACCCAGTAGGGGATAAACTGGGAGTAGTTCCACAGTTCTTGGGAAAATGAGTTCTATCTTCTCCATAATCTTTATTCATTAAGATATGCAAAATACAAAAGGAAATCAAAGGCCTTTAAAGAACACCATATACAAAAATTAACTCAAAATGGATCAAAGACCTACACGTAAGAGCTAAAACTATAAAACTCTTAGAAGAAAACATAGGGGGAAAGCTTCATGCCATTGGGTTTGGCAATAGTTTCTTAGATATAATACCAAAAGTACAGGTAACAAAAGACTAAATAGACAGGTAAGACTACATCACAATTAAAAACTTTCGTGCATCAAGGGACACTGTCGACATAGTAAAAAGGCAACCCACAGAATGGGAGAAAATATTTGCAAATCATGTATCTGATGAGGAATTAATATCCAGAATACTATATAAAGAACTCCTAAAACTCAACAACAAAAAACCAAACCCAATTAAAAAATGGGCAAAGGGCTTGAGTAGACATTTCTCCAAAGAAGATATACAAATGGCCAATAAACACAAGAAAAGATGCTCAACATCAATAATGAATAGGGAAATGTTAATCAAAGCCACAATGAGACACCACTTCACACCCATTAGGATGGCTGTATCAAACAAACAAACAAAAAACCCAGAAAACAAATATTGGCAATGATGTTGAGAAATTGGAATGTGAAATGGTACACCATAGAAAACAGTATGGTGGTTTCTCAGAGACTTAAACATAGAAGTACCATTTGATCTAGCAATTCCATTTCTGGGTATATATACAAAAGAACTAAAATCAGGGACTCAAACAGCTATTTGTATACCAGTGCTCAAAGCAACATTCTTCACAAGAGCCAAAAGGTGGAAACAACCTAAATGTCCACCATAAATAAACAAAATGTACTATATACATACAATGGAATATTATTTAGTGTTGAAAAGGAATGAAATTCTGGTACATGCTACAACATGGATGAACCCTGAAGACATTAATTATGCTAAGCGAAATAAACCATATCCAAAAGGACAAATATTATGAGTCCACTTATATGAGGCACCTAGAGTAGTCAAATATATAGAGACAGAAAGTAGAACAGTGGCTACCAAGACCTGAGGGCAGGGGATAATGGGGAGTCATCGTTTAATGGGTATAAGATTTCAGTATGGAATGATGAAAAAGTTCTGGAGATGGACAGTGGTGGTGTTTGCACAAAATGTGAATGTACTTAATGCCACTAAACTGTACACTTAAAATAGTTAAGATGGTAAATTTTATGTAGATTTTATCACACACAAAAAAGGAATCAAAATGAACAAGCTTCATAATCAACCCCAGACAAATATGACACTTGTGTATACAATATTAAAATGCATGCAGTTTATTACATTAGGAAATGCACGACCATTCAGTCATGCTGAGGGTATTAACTGATTAAAAAGCTTTGCCCTCCGTGAAGCCAATGAAAAGTAAATGTCATCTATCTTCTGTACAACTGAAAAAACAAAACCAAACCAGTGTGAGAGAATGGGCTTTGTTTAATAAGCAATAATGGATTTACAAACATTACCTTGCAAACGTCTCCAACAGAGGCTGGAATATGTCTGGGGGGATGTCAGAACTCAAATATTCACAAATCTCTTGCCAGAAAAAAAATGGCAGGCGGGGCAGGCAGATCTATCAAAGAGGCTGCTCTTGACTTCTACCTTACTTGGTGCTACAAATTCCAGTTAACGCCTATCTATGGTCTTTAGGTTTTATTTTAGGAGTACTTTAAAATCTACGTGGGGATTAGGTTCCTGATTTTTTTCTTTCTACTTAGTTTGCAGCTCACAGCTACGGGGCCCTACTGCATTTTAAAGCCAGCTCTTTGGGAAGCTGTGAATACACTCAGCATTAAGTGATATTAGCATTAATGTTCATAAGTAAAGGCAGAGAAGTGCTCCAACACATGCTGGAGATTAACAAGGCAGTCAAATACTTCTGATCTGATAGTGCTGAGAATAAAACCAAGTGTACCCTAATGCTGTCATTTGGCGCCTTTCAAAGTCAGTTAGGGAAAAGAAGCAACAACTATTTTGAGGGAAGTTTTGAAAAGGGTCCCAGAGTAGTACCACCCTTCCCCCCACTCCCCAAGTGAAAAGGGTTAAGAGAGGTAATGATTGTACAAAACATCCATGAGAGCAAGGACTACACTTAGATTATTCACCACTGATTCCCACTACCCAGCTCCACACCTTGTATACAGCAGGCATGTAATTATTTATTGACTAAGTAAATAAATCTCTGTGAACTTCCATGCCTTCCTCATTCTCACACAGGGCTATCCACTCTCCTTCTCCATAGAAATTGCCTCACCTTTGGCTTGTGGACACTTTTTGAGAGGCACTTTGCATCACTTCGTTTAACTTTGAAAGAAGTTGGAGGAGAGTGAGGACACGTGCTTGCTAATCATCCTTTTCCAGATTTGCCTCATGCGCCAGAGTGGATTTTTATTATTGGTCTGTGGCTGCTACTGCTGTAGAAAGATTTCAGCCTGACCTTCCCAAGCTGCTGGGGGATGAATACTGCACGTGGCTGACAGGGAAAATGTGTCTTCCCTTTTTTAAAAAAAAAAACTAAAAAAAATTTTTTTGCTAACCAGAGCTCACTGTGGTAGGAAAGTCACCTTTTCTCTCACTGAATAAAACTCAAGATGTTGAATTCTTTGGTATAAAAATGAAACAGTAAAACCAATCTGAATTGGTACATCAGGAAAAAGGTAGCACTCCAAGCACCCTGCGAGTGCAGTGGTATCAAAGAATAGGACTCAGGACTGCTCCACAGGCAGAATAGGAAAAAAGAAAATGAAACCATTTATAAAAGCAGTTTAAATAAGAGGATGGATTCTCACAGCTGGTCTCACAAAAGAGAACAAATATGTCAAAGGGAACAACTGATAGACTAATAGAGTCCCATCCATCTGGCTGAGGAAAGAGCCACTGGTGGGAATACTGAGAAGCTTATCTGTTAGGGAAAAGGCTTGGTTGGCACCTCACTGGGTGAGCTGAATAGCTTTTAGGAACACTGGAACACATGGTCACACCATAGCTGGCTTGCTCTGCTAGCAAGAGGCTCAGAGAAGGGTTACACTGATGTGTGACAAAAAGGGCCAAGCAGAGTACACTGGCTTGGAGCCTATACCTGGACCCACCTTCTGAATACGCTGGCCCTCCAACTTGTGAGTAGGGTAGAAAGGAAGGGGGATCGTGTGAATACAATGTCTTATTTTGTGCTTTTAAAAAACAAGACTCGGGCAGCTGGATGGCTCAGTTGGTTAGAGCGTGTGCTCTTAACAACAAGGTTGCTGGTTCGACTCCCGCATAGGATGGTGGGCTGCCCCGCTGACCCCCTGCAACTATTATAGATTGAAAGCTGTGGCTGAACTTAGAGCTGAGCTTGCGCCCTCCACAACTAAGACTGAAGGACAACAACTTGACTTGGAGCTGATGGGTCCTGGAAAAACACAATGTTCTCCTTCCCCAATTCCTCAACACTGTTCCCCTCCCCAATTCCCCAATAATATCTTTAAAAAAAACAACACAAAAAACCAGGACTCAAGAGTCTCATTCTGAAACATCAAGCTCAAGCCCATGTCATGTGCTAAAGTCCCATCTCTACTTTTATATAATGCAGAGCTGAGTACAGGCACTTTGGGAGAAGGGGAAATCAGGCCAGACTCAGGGAAAACAAACATACAGTGCTATTTGCATCTGCAACTCAGTCCATACCACAGAAAAACCTGCTCAGAAATAATTGCTTGAGGCAAACAGAATTCGGTTACTAAAGAAAATCTGTCCCAATGAAGGCTCATGTTTTAATGAGCCAAACAGCCTCCAATTAAGCAGGACTCAGGGCTTTTCTAATTGGCAGTTTCATCCATTTCTATGTTCTCATTTTTTATTTTCAAAAATCAAAATGACTCTCTGTCTAAAATTAAAAAAAGAAATGCCTTATCACCCACTCTAAAATAAGAATTCACCAAATTTTCACCTACATATCTTCTATATAATTAAATGAACCTCTCTTAAGGCTCAAAAAGAGAAGCCATTACTATTTAAAGTACTATCAACAAATCCCTTACTAATTCCTCTTAGCAGCCTGGCTCTTGCCACTCCCACTAGAAGCTCAGTCACAGAATCCCTCTGCCACCAGAGAAAGGGCAACTACTTAACCTTAGTCACCAACTAGGGTCACTCTATGGAGAGTAGTGGCTTACCTGCTCCTCTGACAGTTGGGATATGTGATTCACAGCAGCGTAGGATTCAATTTTGGGGTTAAAGTGGTTGATGATGGCTCTGAAACAAAGAATTAGCATTAATATATAACACCAAATGGAAGAAGAGAAATTAAAAACAACTATCACGTGCTCTATGGTTTAGAGTACGAGAGCATGAGTGTGATTGTCACAGGATAACTGTCCTCTTATGGAACATGAGGTCACGTGGGGGTGAACTGCTGACTCTGAAATGGGAAGGATTTAATAATTTATTACAGGACAGAATTAAGCATCTCTGCTCTGCAAATGAACTAGAGAAAACCTCACAACCAAACAAAAAAACAAAACCAAGCATCCTTCAGATGAGAAACAGGACGTAGGGGGCTTTCCACTCGGGGGCCCTGGTATGTCAGTCACAAAGAAAAGTAGTTTTCTCTGCTCTGACTCGGGAGAACAGGGCACTCAGTAAAGCTGGACCAACATGTAGGCTAAACAGTCTCTGAAAAAGCTAAGCTTTACCAAAACCTAGAATCAACTTTTACTGGTTAGTTAATATTTCAAACCAAAATTTTATTTCCAGCCATTCAAACCAATATCGAAGTGTCATTTTGAAACACTCCCCGCTTGCCATCACTCCCTCACCAAGGTCACCGAGCCTTATCAAATCTACCTCTTAAAAATCTCTGAAATAAATAAACTTCCCTGAAACCAATGCTTTGGTATAGGTCCATGCAATTTCTTCTCTAGTATAGCAGAAAAAACATAGGTTTTAGATCAGAGTTTAGCTTGAGTCCATATTGATATAAAAATGATTAAATAAATGGGGAGAAGAGACAAACCTTTCTAGCAAAACAACTTCAAATAATATGTGCAGATACTCTCTCTTTAGGAGGTAGAGTTTGGTTCCCATTCCCACTGAGGATAGACTAGACTGAATGACTTATTTCCAAAGAATAGAGTAGAGAAAAGGAAAAACAGTTAACTTTACAGTAAAGAATCCCGGCAAACATGACCTTAACCAAGTGATGAAGGTGAACACCACCAGTGGCTGTTAAGTAACCCCTATTATGATCTGATGAGAAGGGCACTTTACCTCTGTTGAGTACTTCCAAAAACCTATACGTCAGTCTACTCAAGAGAAAGACATCAGACAAACACAGATTGGGGAACATTCTACAGAATCCTGACCAGTATTCCTTAAGACTGTCAAGGTCATGAAGAAATTGTCACAGAACAGAGGAAATTTGGGAGACATGACAACTAAATGCAATGCGACACCCTGAATTCAATCCTGGAATAGAAAGAGGGCGTTAATGGATAAACCGGTGAAATGCAAATAAAATACGGCATTTAGTTAATAGTAATGTATCAATGCCAGCTTCTTAGTGTTGATAAATGTATAATGGTGATGTAAGATGAGGGGAACTAGGTTGAGGAGCATATCTTTGTACTTTGCCTGTAATTCTAAAAGTATTCCAAAATAAAAAGTTTATTAAAACGTGTGTGTATGCTAGCATAACAGAAATCAATGTTTTCTTTTAATATAACTTATTGATAGTAAAGAATTACAGAACCATTTAATATAGATACTAAAACTATAAGCCAGAAACTTCACAAAAATCATGGTTTGGAATTCTACTTTGACCACTTGTTATTCTGAATGATTTGGGGGAAGCTGCATATCTCTCACCAGAGGAAGCCAAGTGGTAATAATACCTACCTTAGAACTTAGCACAGTACCTAGGAATAGTACACTGTAGGCGTATAATAAATGTTTGTTGAAAGAGTGACTAAATCTTAGAGGATTCTTGCAACATTTATATAATAAAGCAATGTCAAACACCTAGCACAATCCCTGGCACGCAGCTGGTGCTCACTAAATACTCAATGAATGAATAAATCAAATAGGATAGAAATGGGTCAGGAGCCCTGTGCTTTATACTGCAGAGCATATATGCTGACGTTATTTGGCTGAAGGTTTTGACAGAGTTGCCACTCTGGGGATTTATATTTGGAATGAAGGTAAAATCATCTTCCTACCTGCCCTCTGATATTCTCATCCCAGAGCTTCAGATCTTAGCAGGCGATTAAGGTCTCCCACTAAGGCAAGTGGAGGGGCTGTTTAGAAATGTGACAGAGGTGGGACAGTCTAAACCCAGTAAGTAATCTCTAACTCAGTACCCACAAAGGGCATAGAGTATATGCCTCTGCTTTACTTTTCTTACTGTTTCTTTGGGACTGTTACCTGTAAAATCTGACTACTAATCTGATCTACTGGAGATGCCAGGTACAGGGAACTAGGCCTAAGAGATAAGAAAAACAGTCTGACACTGGCTGTTGTCCCTCTAGGCTCTATAGAAAGGAATTTGAGAGAGGGCTTGGGAGCTTCCTATTAAAAGTTCTTAGGAATTCATACTGTTGAAATGGAAATATGTTCCGAGAAAGCAATGAGATGACAAAACACCAATACCAGGCTAAGCCAGCCCACACTGAGTGACACATGCCTTTGCAGTAACTGAAGTACTTAGTTAGCTTTTCCTTCCCAAGGAAGTTTGGCGGCTACTAGGGCTAACCTGGGGTTAGCCAGGGCCCCAGACTAGGACTTATGCTTGACTAAGTTCTCAATGGGAGAAAGATAAGGTACCAGATTTATGGATGAGGGAGGTGTCCCTCTTTTCTTTAGACTTTCCTCCCCACTGATATCACCTCCAAAAGGATATATTACCTTCTCTTTTGAATATTCGATGGGGAGAAGGGGTTTCCTGAGAGATTCTAACAGTAGCTCTCTCATTTTTACTGATCAAAACCTGATAGGGGGCCGTCAAGTGGCTCAGCTGGTTAAGAGCTTGCTCAAGAGTTTGAGCTCTGAGCAACAGCGGTTCGATTCCCGGCCCGAGCTAAGGAGCCGCTGAGCTTCCAACATGTGGCAGGATGGCTCAGCTTTTTTAAAAAACAAAACAAACAAACAAAAAAAACCTGATAGGTAGCAACTGTTCAGTGCTGAAGTCTAAAATTTGAGTCTTCCAGCAAGAAAGAAATGGAAATTTTTTTATCAGAAGATGAATGAGCAGAATGTGAGTTTAATTCCCTCCCCACCCATTCTATCCAAACCCCACCCTTCAGAAAAGGCAGCTTCAGAGAAGGTGAATACTGAAAGCAGGACACATGTTCCTTGCCCCTGGCTAGCCTGACAGAAAACGAAGCTCAGAAAAGAAGATACCTGAAGGGGCCAGGAAGAGGAGTCTTACATGAGCAGGAGGCTAAGGCAGGCTATATCAGGACATCGCCACTAGGCTCATAGTGGGTCGTTATGCACTAAGTATTTGTAATCCCCCCTCCACACAAAAGAATTTCATATGTTAAAACCCTCATCCCCATGTGACTGTATCTGGCCTTTACTGAAGTAATTAAGGTTAAATGAGATTCTAAGGGTGGGGCACTGATCTAATAAGATTAGTGTCCTTATGAGAAAACAGAGCTCATTTGATATTTGATCTCTCCCTCTCCCTCTCCCTCTCCCCCTCCCCCCCCCTCTCTCTCATATAAGGACACAGCCAGAGGTGGCTGTCTGCAAGTCGGGAAGAGAGACCTCACCAGAAACCGACCCTGCTAAACTTTGATCTGAGACTTGTAGCCTTCAGAACTGAGAAAATCAAATTCTGTTTTTTAAACTGCCTAGTATGTAGTATTTTGTTATGGCAGCTGTGAAAATTCATGTTCATGGATGCTCTACTCCTACAGGGACCCTGGTATTTAGGCAGAGCAGACGATAAGCCAGAGTCAGTCTTATTTAGCAAAGCAGTAGAGCGGATAAAGTCTGCTTCTCATTCTGTAGGTGGCTGCCTTTTTTGTACCCTTTACCTTCTGGGTTATCATTTCCTTCTCTTCTAGAAGATGACCATTCTGAGGTTCCTATGCTACAAAGTTCCAATTACAGATGTCACAAATGTAGCCATCCGGGTTACTAGCTTCTCAGGCAGCGCAGAACTGGCCCTTTAGCCTTTACTAAGCGAGAAACACAGATTTTAGTAAAGAAAGATCTTGCAGGGGCTTTTGAGTGGCCTGTGCCATAGAGTGTACATGTGTGTGCAAGCACGTGCTCATACACACACACACACGCACGCACACACACACACACACACACACACACACACACACTGAACACCACCATACATGGCAAAGAAAGAGATATGCACTTTCCCTTTTATTGGGTTGTCGAAAAAGTCATGACATTTTTTTATGGTTTTTGTTGCAAAAATGCGTCATGACTTTTCCAACAACCCAATATTTGCATTTTAAGATTGGTTTTCATCCAATCTCAGCCTTTCAGGTATTTAAACAAAACCTAGTTTCTGCTTGCCAAAAACTTTCATGCTAAAGAGTATTTTGAAAAACGGGACTTGAAGAAGAGTAGTATTTTGAGTGGGTAATGAATGAGAAAACATAGCCATTATGAAAAATTAAAGCTTCCTGTTGACAAGGCTGGCAAGACAAATTAAATGGGAAAAGGACAGTCTTTTCAAGAAATGGTCCTGGGACAACTGGGTATCTACATGCAAAAGAACGAAGTTGAACCCCTATCTCACATCATACATAAAAAGTAACTCAAAATGGATCACAGATCTAAATGTAAGATCTAAAAACTATAAAATTCTTAGAAGAACACATAAGAGTAAATCTTCATGATCTTGGGTTAGGCAACGATTTCTTAGACAGTACACCAAAAGCACAAGTGACAAAACAAACAGTTAAAATTTTTTTGTGCTGCAAATGGTACCACCAAGAAAATGAAAAGACAACCCATAGAATGGGAGGCAATATTTGCAAATCATATATCTGATAAGTAACCCCAATGAGCTACCACTTCACATCCACTACGATGGAAATAATTGAAAAGACAGTAACAAGTGCTGGCACGGACATGGAGAAATTGAAACTCTTATACGCTGCTGGTGGGATTGTATAGTGGCACAGCTACTTTGGAAAGTGGTTTGGCAGTTCCTCAAATGTTAACACATAGAGTTCCCATATAACCCAGAAATTCTACTCTAAGGTATATACCCAAAAGAATGAAAACAT